TCTTATTTTTGGTGGCGGGCATGAATGCATAATTGATTTATTTTATTAAGGTTTCAAAAAGTGTTTCAGTGTTCCAGTTGTGTGTGGAAACCATTGACATTAGAAAGAGCACATTGTCGCATACACTACAGAGGGCGCAAGCTGACTGGATGACAATATGGCTAATATACCAGTAACGTTGAATTTCTTATTTTTGGTGGGTGGCATGAATGCATAATTGATTTATTTTATTAGGGTTAATGAGCATTCGAGAACCATTTGAAAATACAGCTCGTTAAATTCTATTTAGAACCATGGTTTTCGTGTACATTTTATTTCATGTGGAGTATTAATTCCATTATTAAAATTTCTACGAGTTCAACATGAAAATGTCTACTGCCGGGAGTATTTCAAAAATAACGTTTTTATTACGTTTTGTGCATCCTATGTGTGATTAATTCTCCCTTCACTGCATTTCTTGCACTTAGATTTAGTTGTCGAAAGTGACTGTAATTTTACTTTGAATCACAAATTAAACAGAAACTGTTTATAGGCTCCGTGAATTTTACGATTTGGCAATGTTGATTATTGGTCTTGTTCCTATTGGCCAATCGAACAAGAAGCGAGACTAGGCCCATGACGTCACGGGCCTAGAAAATCTGATTTTCAATCATTAATTACGGAAAAACAACGCTATTTAGAGAGCTGAAACAAATTGAGCTGTTTTTCAATTTGAAATTACTACCAAATGAACTGTAAACAAAAAATCATGAAATAGGCCCATTGTGAGGCCCATTCTTGTATCAATTTCTCGGCGAGAACCATGAGTCAACTTTTGTACTCCTGATCACTTAAATTATCATTTGTTTTGTTCTATAACCTACGTCCAAGTCTAAAGTAAAGAAAATGTATTAAAAAGAAAGAAACAAATTCAATGTCACACAGACCAGGAGTATATAAGTTGACTCGTGGTTCTTGTCCAAAACCGTATATTGGCCAAGCGGAAAGATCTTTTTTCCAAGGAATAGAAGAACATAGGAGTAAATTTTCGACTATGACCATCTTTTCACAGATAAGCACGGGCTCAACAAGAACTATGGCGTATTACATTTGGAAGAGAAAGCTTTGAAACTCTTTTGGAATGCTTAGAAATTAATATATTTAAGAAATCTGAAAATTTAATGAATGGCTATATATAATTGAATTCTTCCGGTCTGTAGATGATTTACTCAAATAATTTCAGCATGGTCCTGCTGGATTAACGATAAATATCTATGAGACTAACCTCTGTGAGGTATCTTGCATGTCCGGCTAATACCTGCGCGGTATTAGCCGGGGAAGTAGTTGTTTTCCAGCAGGAATTTTCACGGCATGCTTTCAAACTTTCGTCGAGACGGTAGATAACTTGTCAACATACTCGTTTCTAACATAAATCAAGATTTTTATACACCCGGAGTATTTATTATTCATGTACCATGCAAAGATAAATATACATTTAATGGACTTACACCTGTCAAAGTCGTCGCCCCATAAATTCTTCCACCTCAATGGGACCTCGCGACATTATTTCCCCCCACAAGATAAGCCAGGCGAAGAAACCCCGTGTAATAAAAGCGAACAATAGTATCATTGGCAGATATATTAATTTCGTGTTACTTTGAATAATAACGAGGATAATAAATTACCCAGCTTCGTATATAATTATGGCAGATAGTTGAGATAGTACAGTATAACAGTTGCTGTGGTAACAATCGCGATACGATGTGAAATTCCGGACATACGGTACAGATTACCATAATTATCATCGCGTTATAAATATTTTCAGTTCCTTTGAATAAATTAATTTTCAGAAAGAAACTGTAACTATATAACGAAATGTAATGAGGTCAACATTAATGAGAGTCGAATAAATTCGATGCAGCATTGCAAGAACTATGTTTTCCTTAGGTACTTGTATCAAAAACAAACATATTATCCGGAGCCGGCAAACCAATGGCGGGGATAGCGAACGCTTCAAAGACTATTCGAGATTCTTCTATTGGTGTATGAATTATGCTCCAGTTGTAAAAAGCAACAATCTAATTCACCCATGGCAGCGGCAGCAAACAAAATCAACATTTCATACTGATGTAACTTAGTAATTGTAACGGATTGGCCAAAACCTAGACACCCAGTATACTTTTGAGTTGATTCATATGCAGAACTTCCCTAGTACGAAGGTGGAACCTCATAGAATTTGTTTTCTCAATATTGGGGAATAAATGATTAGCAGAGTACCAACCATGCAATTCTCCTTCTTGGCATTTTTCCGTCAATAGTACATCTGATTTATCAGAGATAAGAACTGACGTGTCATCAGCATATAAAGTAAATGATGCTGGTACTGATAGGTGATCCAAGTGATTTATGTAGAATATAAATAGTACTGGTCCCAAAATTGAACCTTGTGGTACACCCAGATCAATACCTCGGATCTCAGAACTTTCAGTACCAACAGTGACATAGTGTTTCCTGTAAGTAAGAAAATCTGACATCCAGTCCAATGGTAATCCTCTAATTCCATAAGTATACAGTTTTGAGAGCAGAATAGAATGATTTACGCAGCCGAATGCCCTGCTGTGATCACAAAAGATCCCAACAGGACATTTTCCTGCCTCAATATTCATTAATATCATCAAGTATTGTGAATACAATTTTATATTGTCCTGCAAATAGGTAACTGTTGGACAATAAAGCTATTATTGTTAGAGGACACCTGAATAAAATGGGGCTGTACAACGGAGACCTCAGCTGCTGATTATGCAACGAAGGGATAGAAACAGCTCTGCGAATGTGAGGCACTGAACCACAGGAGGCAGGCAATATATAGCTCTTCTAGCTTTCCCAAGCAGTAGGACTTGATAATCCAATATCCGTCGAGGTATTAGCTAAAGATGGTTTCCGACAAACATTTGACAACTTCTATTGTGTTAGAATGCTGGGACAAATGAATGACACTTCAATGAATGAATATTTCATTTCAAATGCGTCTTTGTTGTAGATACATGTAATATTTTTTAAATTAACAAGGACAAACTGTTAGGAAACGATGTTATCTATTTTGCAATGAAGATTACAGTTTATTTGCAATTATGGCTTATTTTGAATATGCGGCTATGGATATTTGTCAAGTTGAGGCCATGATGCTCTTCATAATCCCTTATTATGTAAAATAAACACTTCTTTGCGTTTATTGCACAATTCTCTTCATCTAAAAACCCACCTTGAATGAATTTTTATTCCACCAATCTGATATGAACAAATATGTAAATCATTCCGGAATTTTCTTCTTTCTTCACAGTTATAAAAGAAGTTTTATTGTCGTCGTAAAACTACGTATTTGACCCTACTTGGGCAATGTTCCACGAATTTTAGATTAACAAAACTCGACCGTCAGGCACTAAAAAAACTGGACGATTAAAGTATCGCTATAAAAACAAACGTATCAAAGCTCTTAAGGAATTTTTCAATCAATTTAACCTCGTAATCGTAGGTTTGGAAGTCGACAATTTCAAGTTAGGTATTAAAGTACGTATCAGCTATTATAAATCATACATTTCTATGAATTGTATTTTTTTATCACGCAATAAAACTTGGAAAAATATTTGTTAAATGTTTGATTTCAACAGAATGTCCCGCCAAACCGTGAAAAGAATAATCGGTATAAGGTAGTTAATAGAAATAAATTTCAGTTTACTAGCAACATTAGTGAGATAGAGAATAAATCTAAAGAAATGAACTTCAAACTTTCTAGCCAGTCTCGGATATACCTACACAGTAGGTTGAATGGACTGACGCCTATCAGAAAACAACTACTCCCCTGGCTAATACCAAGAAGGGCGTTGGATTATATCCGACAGATTCAATAATCTTGTGTTACGTTGGCAAAAGTGTAACGATTCAATAATTTGAACAGTAAAGAAATGATCAACGATGCGTCAACATTGTCCATCCCCATCAAAAGAACCCCCCATTATGTATGCGCGCAGCGTCCTTTCTGTGTGCTTCGTTTCCAATTTCTAAGAACTGATATCTTGACCTAGATTTCCGATAGACCTTGACATAGCTCTGGGAGATAATAATACCAGTAACATTTTGTCTTTGGTGTTTTAACGGAGATAAATGAGTTTGTTTGCCTGTCCCGTACGTACACGAAACAAGTTCATGAATGTACGGTACATTGTAAAAAGTGGTCTGAATAAAACCGAGTCATTCCCAATTATCGAAGCGTGGAGAACCATTCGAAGCACAGTCAGGAATGTTATTATTGTTATCTGATAGAATTGTAAATTAGAACTGCTTTACATGGTAAGATGAAGTAAAAATTGAGAGTATATAAAATACTTGCCTTAGACAGGAGCAGTCAGCATATAATAATATACTTTATTGTCATTAAGAATAAATCTTGTGGATAAAGCTTGTGAAAAATACATACAATGTAAGTTCACACATCGGAAAATTCTAGGGATATTTTTAAAAATGGCAATAATTTTTTTTCAGATCGCTTTAGGGAAAAAAAAGTTGACGCGTGATTAT